CATCCATCCATCCATCCATCCATCCATCCATCCATCCATCCATCTTTCCATCTGTCCAGTACTTATTTTCATGTTTAGCATAACAAACTCTTAGTTCTGACAAACAATTGATTCTTTTCAATTTTACAGTTTGTTTTGGGGTTTTTTGTACAAAATAAATCATAACATTAAATGGCACCGCTTAAGTTAACAGCCCATCTTTTGCTGCAGATAAGCCTTAATATTAGGGAAACAATTTGGAATGATTTTGTATTTCTAAGTAAAGAAAACAAGAAGGTAACAGCCCAGGAAGAGTAAGCGTTTTCCATATGAAGGTGTTTATTAATATTTTTGACATCATGTAACACCTGAGATGAATGAGTGTATGAGAATTATTCTGTAGAGAACTCACATATTTACTCTGATCTAAATATTCTGTAAGAAGTTTTCAGTAACAACCTGCCCATCCTACAGGATTTCTCTCATGGTTTTCTCTGCTATGCTAACTCATTAGGGGATTCATCCTGTCAGGTATTATCTCTGCTGCATCCTAAAATGTTGGCTTTTATTCAGCTCTTCTCTATGACGTTCAGTTTTAGCCAAAGGCCTGAAGACTAATGACACTTGAACTACAGTACATTCAGGATAACCAAAACACCTCATAGCTAATTACAGCATGGAGAATCAGAGAAATTAAGATTTTTTTTTTCTTTTACCATTTATAAAGAACATAATTGTTTCTCTGGAAAGATAATATGTGAAGTACGTTATTTTGTAAAGCGATGAGGAAGATTTTCTTTCAGCACTTTTACATTTTGGTCCTTCTCATGAAGGTATCTATCATAAGATGTATGTTACACAAATTAATATGTTCAAACATGCTCTCTGACTTTCACCCTCCCCTTTTACCTAAACACTTACAATTTAGCTCAACAAACAACAAAAATATCTTCAAAAATGTATGCCTCTTCCCCATGTCCCCTTCAAAACCTCTTATCATGCCTTTTATTATCCTTTAAAGTTGTTGCCTCTCCAGTCAGCATCCTCTCAAGGTGCTTTGTTTTTGTTCTGGGTTTCAAAGGCACATTTGACCCTCAAAGCTTCAGTTATTTCTTTTTCTTGAATGCTATGACAGCTGGACATTCTTCTTTATAACTACATAAAATGGACCTGCTACACCAATTTATATTGTTTAGCACTCTTGTTTTAGATCTATGCAGCAATTAGGGCCTACTCCTTGCCCACAGCTGAGTCCTTGGTTTTAATCTATAAAACAAACAAACAAGCAAAGAACTCGGACCATCCATCCATCTATCCATCTTCTTCCACATTGTTGGGGCCGGGTCACGGAGGCAGCACTCTAAGCAAAGATGCCCACACTTTCTGATCCAGCATGTCCTTGGCCTTCCACAAGACCTCTTCCCAATGGGACATGCCTGGAACACCTCCCGAGGGAGGCGACCAGGAGGCAACTGGAACAGATATCCGAGCCACCTCAGCTGGCTCCTTTCGACGAGGAGGAGCAATGACGAGCTCCTCCAGGGTAACCGAGCTCCTCACCCGATCTCTCGCAGCGTGCGCCCAGCCACCCTGCGAAGGAAACTCATTTCGGCCGCTTGTATTCCTGATCTTGTCCTGTCGGTCATTAGCCAGATCTCCTGACCATAGGTGAGGGTGGGAACCTACATCGATTGGCAAATAGAGAGTCCCCCCCATGTCTCAGCTCCCTTTTCACCATGACAGTCCTATACAGCATCAACATCACTTCCGATGCTGCACCAATCAGTCTGTCGATCTCATGCTCCATCCGTTCCTCACTTGTGAACAAGGCCCTGAGATACTTGAACTCCTCCTCTTGAGACAAGGACTCTCCATAGACCTGAAGAGGAGAGTCCACCTTTCTCCGGTGGAGAACCATGGCCTTGGATTTGGAAGTGCTGATCCTCATCCTGGCCGCTTCTAGCTAGGCTGCAAACCGCCCCAGTGCATGTCGATGGTCCTGCTTTGATAAGGCCAACAGGACAACATCATCTGCAAACAACAGAGATGATATCCTGTTGTTCCCAAACTAGACACCCTCCTGTCCCTGGCTGCACCTAGAAATTCTGTCCATGTATTTCTTCCAGAGACGTAACCTTGATTATACTTTTACTCCTGTTGGTCTGAGTTCTTTCATTTACAGAAAGAACTCAGAACAACAAGAGTAAAAGTATAATGAAAGTTATACGTGCTAACATATTTCTTCCAGTTACAATCTGGAAGATATACAAAACAGTAACAATCTTATCATGAAAGAAATACATTTCAACGAATATATTTTTTAACTAGTTCATGAAAGGAAATGGTG